TCGCTTGGGTCACGCTGTCTGTCACGGGATGAGCTGGAGACTGTGTTGTTAGAAGTTGAGTGTTGTGTTAACTCCCGTCCATTGACGTTTGTTGGTGATGGACTGGACTCGAGCCCCCCGATCACCCCGGCGCACTTTCTGACGGGCAGAGGGACCGGGTTCTCCTCGCGGGTGGTGGAGGACCCTGCCTGTGTGAATGCGAAGGCGCTGACTGAGAGAGCTCGTGTGTGTGAGAAGCGTCTGGCTAGATTTTGGTCTGTCTGGTACAAGGAGTACGTCAGGACCCTGCCGCCTTCTGTCAGAAGGTTCAGGCCTCAAGGTAAGCTGTCCGAGGGCTCCATGGTCATGCTGCAGGAGGATAACGTGCCGCGCATGAGGTGGGTACATGGCGTCGTCACGAGACTGATCACCGGCCGAGACGGAAAGGTGAGGTCGGCAGAAGTCCGGACTCCGTCTGGTCTAAAAACCCGTCCCATCCAGAGGCTTTTTGACCTCGACCCGCTGTCCTCTGAGCCGTGAACCGCTCACATTCGTCGGCGGTGTTAGACCGCAGTGTTCGTCAGCAGTGTTAGTTTGTTTTTCTCTCGTCTGCGATTACAGGCAAGGTAGTGTTGGGCGCCGACTGTAGATGTCGCTCTGAGCAGTGAGGCGGCGTGCAGAGGACGCGCTGAGTTGACAGTTGCGTGTGGTGGCTCGCAGAGTGCAGGGTGCAAGTGGCCCTGGTGATGTGACAAGTTTGATGTCGTTTGCGTCGAGGTTGGCGTTTGTTTGTTTGAAGAGTGGTGAATCAATTTACGTTTGCGTTTGTAGACTGATGCGTTTGACTCAGATTCTCTGTCTGAATCTGTCTGAATTGAATTAAGTGATGCAGTCTTGTTCGCTGTGAACTATGGATCTGTCGTTGTAAGATCGGTTCCGTACCTGTGTGAAACGCGCCCTCTGAAGTTCGCATTTCAGGGGGGAGGATGTTACGGAATTTAGTGAACGCTTCTCTTGGCAGCGATTCAGCGACTATTTTTTTAGCAGTGGTTTAGTGTTTCGACGGTCGTCGACGTGGCCTGAGAAATGTGATGTGGTGCGCAGGAATCGTCTGATGCAATATATACGCATTGAAATGGCTTGAGCCACGTGTCTCCAGGTCTGTGTCGGAGATTTTTCGGATTTATTTGAGAGTTGAGAGTTGAGTCAAGTTGAATTGTCAACACAGTACTTGACATTTGAAGGAGAAATTAACATTGCATTATCGTAATGGTAAGCCTGGATTGAGTGCGTACAGCGTATCAACGTTCTAAGCTCTGTAGGTGTCGGTTATGATCCACTAGATCGGACTACTGCACCGGTGAAATATGATCATCACATACCCGATTTTTCATAAAATTCGGGACCATCAATATCGTTCGCAAATACCCATATTCCAGCCAAGGCAGCATTCTACTTAATCTTCCAGCATATACCATCCAAACACAGGAAAGATATGTGAGAGTCGGCTGTTAAATTATTCCAGTTCCAAAGAGCCTGCGGCGGCCATGGAGCCACGACGATATGATGATGATCGCGTTCTAAGAATCCATTAAGATTAAATAGCTGAACGGTGAGCAGTAAAGTTCAAGGTGGGCCTAAAGGTCCTTCTGCAACGACTTTACATTGCCTTTAACCAGAGCGTGTCGCATTACAAATCGATCCCATACTTTTAGTGCGTGGTTCACTCGTAAGCCGACGCAAAAAGGATTTTTGACATGTTCCATCGAAGTTGACGGATATCGTCTCTAATGAAGTCACTGATATCTCCGCCGCAACCACAGTTGACGCAGATCAAATATCATGTAGAGAAAACGTCACTAAAAACGAGATTACTTATTTGCCGTCTCCAGGCCTGCGAAGAACTGCAACAGTCTGATGCGCATATGCCGCTGACACATTTGGTCCTTTACAACCAAATAACTTTTCACTCACTAACAGCCAGCCCGATCAAAGTACGTGTATCACCGAAAGCAATGACGGTAGGCGACCAGTTTGTGATACTGTGAAGGTTCACAGTCCTCCACAGTCCACAGTTATTTACAGCCGTAGTCCACCACAACCCTCCAAAACCCACCGGGGTCCACCGATCCACTTCTGTCAGCCAAACAACCCGGAGGGTTGGCGCTATCCACCGTCCACTGGTATCCACAGAGAGTGAAACCACCAAACATCTCCCCGAACACGAAATAATACCACGAGAAGGCGAAAACGCGGAACAAATCTATCACAAAACACTGAAAGTAAACGTCCCGTCAACATCAATACAGGAGACGATATATCCATCCAGAGAAATCTCGGCAATTACAACAGAGAACCAGTTTGATCAGCATCGTCTTTGACGACTAAAAAGTAAAGGGAGAGCGAGACGAACGACCAGAGATGAGAGGTCGCGGGAGAGAGACTACCAAATCTTTTCAGCGCACCAGCAGGTAACAAATGAACAGGGAACTACACCAAAGAACGACATGGCGACCACCACTACAGGGATCGTCAGGAATGTGCAGAGAAGGCGCCCAATCAACCACTGGGCGGCACGACCCCAGAGGACGGTTTCTCTTCCAACAGCTACTGAAGCAAGCATCGATCTCCTTTTGCTATTTCTATCTGGTGTCCCATTTGCCCCACTTCGGTGACCGGTACGGTCCAATTGGCAGACACTTTCAGCCATCGATCCTTTTCAGTGTCGAGTTCACAGTTTTGGCGAGCAGTAGGTACTCGATAACAGCGGTTCGGTATAACCAGTGGCCTTACATTACATGACCCAAGCCTAACACAAAGCACTCTAATGTGACATTTTCAACCAAATCGAGAACACTTATTTTTTACAAAGGTCTTTGATGTCAACTTTCAGACTTGAAAGAGCTTTAGGGTTTATTGATGTTTTTGATAGTGAGCAAAAAAAAAAACTCAAAAGGCCGAAATGAAAAAAAAAACCAAAACACTTCGACATTTCAGTTCATCCCTCGACTATTCTTATGTCCACAGGCACAAATCTCTCTTCATTTCATCCGTAAAACATGACAGAGGTCACATTCTTAGTGTGCCGGAGCGTGCCAAGACCGCATGCCGCCCCCATGCCGCGTCCCCGACGCCAAAACATTCCACCGTTCTACAGGATGTCACTATTTTCACCATCCCAAAATCGCTCTTCTCTCATTATGGGTAATGGACATTGTTTCCACCATCCCTTCATGCTATAGACGTCGCCCCGCCATCCAACGGAAGCCATTTCATTCCACAGACGTCACTTTAACTTCACGCGACTGCAGCCAACGTCCGCGGTCGCCCACGGTGACAGGTAACGCAGGTCAGGTTCCGTTGGACGCACCACTCAAGGGTGTCGAAACCTCGGAGAAGTATCCGAAAAAAACAGCTGTATTCCAAGCAAATGGTCACGCTAAGCTACCAGCAGATGTGTTGGCAAGTTTGCGCCGATGGATCAGTTTGAGAAACCGCCTGACCATCTCCGGACAATCAGACCCAACAAACTCGCCCATAAACTGCAGCGTCGAGACAGACCGACTGCCAGACGAGATTGTGGCCGCCCGTCACGGGCGCGACAGACCGTCACGGTTCCATCGCATTACGTCACAGTCCGTGACGTGACGCGTCCAGTGGCGGTGACAGAGCGGCCTTCAGACCGCTGCTCCCCGGGGACTGACGGGCCGGGTCGGCTCAGTCGATACCCGGGCAGTGCGCGCGGCGGGTCCCGCTCGCCCGCGCCGACAGCACGCCACGGTCGACCCAGCCAAAGGGCGTGACCGCTAGCGGTCCCAAACGGTCCGCAGGCAACTTGGGCGTCACGGCTGGCACTTAATCGGCCCAATCCAGCGATATTGAAACGTATATCCCAGAAAATAAATAACAGAAGGGGGTTTTAAGGCGCGGCCGACGCGTCACTATGCCTTTCATCTCAGATGCCAAAAACAATTGGCTAGCGCGTCAGAGACGGTTGCTAAGTTGTGCATACGGCATACCGAGAACGTAATACTAGAAACAAACATAATCAGTGAGCGAATACAAACACCCGCAGCCCCGAAATAGGTCCGTCTGCATTCCTGGCAGACCAACAGACCCGCTCGACCCACTCACAGCGCCTAAGTTCATCTCGTAGACGTCATAGCCGGGCGCGACACGTCTACGCTCAGATCGTAACACTATTTGGCTTGGCCGATCCAGGCAAACACCTTCCCCGTCGAGTGGCCGTCGGCCCAAAACATCGACTTCTTCTGTGTCGACGACGGCGGCGACGGGGAGAGAGGAGAGGAGGGGAGAGAGAGGGGGTCTGGCTCGGTGCCAGGCACACAGGCCGTCCTCACACGGGTCAGGCGGGACAGGAGGTGTTGGCCCCTGGCACCACGGGCTCGGGAGAATCTGGTAGAGTGGAAGATGACTATGTAAAGGCGTCAGCCATGTGGAGGGCAGGTCCAGCTGGCGACAGGCGACAGAGGCACTGGGCCAGGTCACGGCAGATGGGTAGGTACTGATTCCGTGTGGGGTCGGCCGTTAGGACTAGGAGTCGAGGGCAGATGGAAGGAAGATGATATAGACAAGAGATACGGATCGGGGAGGCAAGACGGATGGAAAACAGGAGACAATAGTTTGGGAAACGAGTCAGGAAACGCACAACCTAGGACTGACTTGAGTGAAAGAGAGATAAGCTTTGGAGGCTGGAGCGTAAAATGTCAACGCCAAGCACAGTTTCGCCTCGACATGTGGTCCCTGCAGATGATAAAAGAAGATCGCAAAACGCAAACTTGTTCCTACTGAGCTCAGTTCCTGCTAGCTTCTAACAAAACTTTTAAAATCCAAGTTCTCTCGAAGTTGCATCCGAATGGACCACCGCCAACTGCTACTGATATCACACGGAACTTTAACTCTATGGTCTGCACTCACAGACACTCTTACTCTGCATTCAGGGCACTCTAACACTGCATCGATCGAACTCTAGGCGCTCAGACTAGGCGCTGAGTACTCACCTATTGGGTCAACGTGCGTGATGTGGTCGACAAAGTCACGTTTCCCTAAGTACACCGTGATCTTGCCATTGGGCGAACTCTTCTTAAAGACCCTGCGGAGAGAAATATAACAGGTTAATAAATAGGTGGTTGGCATTTCCAAAAATACATGAGCGCAATGCTTAATAAACCACACACGAGGTACATCCTAATTCACGACATAAATGGCCTTTAGCAGTCATCTGGGATGTTTCAAAACGTATGCTTCTCAGACGGACATCATTATTGCCTTTTTTTTACAGATGACTTCCAAACCCGTATGAAACGTACCCAGCCCTGACTCCTGTCTGAGTTATCATCCACTCTCTTGCAGCTCAGCATGCCACTCGTCCAGTCACACAGTCAGCTGTCGTCCGAGCTCAAGTGGCTGGCTGACGGCGACCAATACGCGCGGCTGTCCCATATTGGCCGTCACCGTTCCCGCGTCATCGCGTGCCATCGATCTGCCCCCCCCCCCTCCCGCGTCCCACCCCCACCGGTGGAGAGGACCCACATCCTGATCCCAGCCGTCGGCTTACGTCACCGGCCGGCGAGCGACGTCCGTCTGGTGCGCCGCGCGAATCGGTGACCAGCTGGTCTCTGGGACCACCCCGGCAGACCGTCAGAAAAGCACCACCCTGATGGTCTAGATGGACAGAAGTGGACCATCCGTACGACTGCACACCGTCGGAAAAGGACCGCCACAACGGACCATCTTGACGAAACATAATATGCCATCTCAGCTCGATTATCGTAACTTCTATCAGACAGGACAATCCTGACGTACCATCCTAACGTGCCATCCATGCAGACCATCGGGGCTGAACAGTGGACACATCCGGTCAAGGCCGTCCAGAAATCCAGCATCCCTTCGAACTATTCGGACACCCTATCCACGACAAAATCATTCCATCACCATTGCTACTCCGCACCTGCGCCAGCACCATACGTAACGCTGGTGAAAACCTCACGCCTCGACTACTGAGCCATGAGGTCTTGTCACCAGGCAGAGCGACCAGCAGTGGCAGGATGTGACATACATTAACAGGCGACAGGAGAGGGAGCGACGGCGAGATAACGCGGAAACGGAGCAGTGTAGCCAGACAGCCGCAGTTATATCTGAATGGGGATCGACTGTGGGCATTGGTCGATACTACCTGAACGAGATTAACTAGCTGTCAGATAGTGAAATACGGAGAGCAACTAACAATTAACACAAACAAGTCTGGAAAATAAATCACAAGAAATGTGTAGTGTAAGGCACAGCCTATCATTTTTGTTTGAGCAATTAACGGTTGTCGAGACGAATGCAAAGTCATTTCATACGTGACGCACATACAGAAATGACAATGAGCACGTCGAATTAAGCCGACTCTAAACAAAGCAAACAACTTGATAAAGAGGCATCCGGCTTGACTTCAAAACACGTCGGCATCATTATTTTCAGCGACACGTGAGGCTCCGTATTTATGCTGCACTGAGTGACCCATCCATTTCTAGGAAGCTGAGAGATTCAGCCGGCTTTCTTGCACGTAATTGGTCAGGTGTTTTGCAATTCACTGGTCAGGCGGGTGGATGGTCAGCTGGCACGTAACATGTTCACAAAGAACTATCGCTAGCCGTCAACAAAGTGACCGGCTTTCATTCAAAAATTCAGTTCAATGAGTGGATCACTAGAAGCCTAAGATGCATAAATTAAATAGCAACGATACAAACAAAGGTTCCAGCAGGGGCATTCCACGTCAAATCGAACAAAAATCGGCTGTTTTGCACCTTACCATCAGCGATTTCATTATAAATTTGTGAGCGAGTTCCTGTGTGGCCCCGGACATTACATTGATGTTTTTTGCACATTCTGACCACAGGTCTTCTAAATATAGGGCATCAAATTTTTACAAAATGTTGCATCTTTATATTTTTGAACGACCATAACTTTGGTTGTACTTGTTTGATTTGAATGAAATAAACCTTACTGTTTAGGTAATTTCTTAAGCATTTGTTTAGAATTGCACCTACTTAAATATATGACCTTGAAATTTGCTTAACTCTGTTCTTAAGCACAAATATTGAAATAGCAAAAAACACGTCACCTTCGATTTGGCTCATTTTCATATATTTTATTGCCTACCATATTCTTAACAACCTGTGAAAAAATTAGAGTGGGCCATTCATAAGTTTTGAAGAAAATTGTACATATGCAAACGTATGTTAGCACGCGCAGTGGAGGGGGAAGAGCGAATTTCGCCCACCCCTCCTGTTTTTCGCCAATATCTCATAAGATTAATGCGAAATTAATTATGGCTACCTGTCAAGAATTGAATTGGACATCTAATCGTGCAAGCAATAAGAAAATCGGTTCACAACTGTTCTAGTAATAGCGGTGTAAAGTGAACATCCTGTCGCCGCAGCGACGCGGCGACTCGGCAGCCGGCGCCGACCGCTACGCGCCGCCTGAATTGTAGACTGTGCCGGGACGGAACGGAACGGTTCCGTCTTTACATCGCGCTCCCTACCGCTGATTACGTTCGATTCGCGTCAACCTTTGTGAGAAGACTAAGAAATGTACAGGCAATCTTATGGTGAAAGAATTTTGAAAATCGGTTGGTAAACAATTGAAATATGAACGTGTAAACACAAAATTGTGATTGCTGCGTTTCCCGCATCGGCCGAGCCCGCCTCAGCCGGCGACATGTTACTCTTAGCAGGCCTCTAACTGCCATATTTATTATTGGATTAACTAGAAATTCCCCATACATACTTTAAAAAATGTATGTTCTTTCGTATAGTGAAGATCAAAAGACGTGAAGATATCGATGGGTGATAATGTTTTCGTTGAATTTACTTCATGATGCATTTCCACATGGCTCAAAATTCACCGCAAAATACCGTTTGCCTGAGACACTTTTACTATGGAACGTGAATGCTTGACTACGATGACTATGCATTTCCATTCTCGCAGAGTTTGGGATATCACTAATCAGCAATCATTCATTTCAGAAAGTGTACACAAGCAAGCATGTCTTGACTCTGTCTTTCAAGGTCACGCGCGGTTGCGTGATGTTGATGCATGAAAACGGCGTTTGCCGCGAAAGTTATGAATGGCCCACTCCAATTTTTTCACAGATGGTTAACAACATTGTGACGGACATAATATGTAAAAATTACCCAAATCGAAGGTGACGTGTTTTTTGCTATTTAAATTTTTCTGTTTTAATTCAAGGTCAAATGCATTTCAAGGTCAGTTCAATTTAATTTTATAATTAAAAATCAAAGTCTTATTAATTGCCTATAAGACCCTGTTAATATCATTTTGATACCAGAAAAGGAACCAGAGTTATAGCCATTTAAAAAATTGATGTGTGGCATTTTTCGCTATATTCGATGACCTATATCTCAGCGATACGTTATCAAATTTCGAAAATATTATACGTAACTCAGTTTTGAACCATGCCCAGTCTGCCTACAAATTTTCAGAAAAATCGAAGGGGATGACGGATTTCGGTGTTTGATTTGACGTGGAATGCCCCAGCAGGAAACACTAGCTAGCCTGTAAACTGCTAACAGGACCGAATGCAATGATTTAGGCCACTTGCACATTACTTCAGAACTCAGAAGTGCAGCAAAAGGAAGGCCACTTCGATAGACAAACGATTCATCAAATTGCAATTGCAATTTGTCAATTGCAGAGTTTGTCCATGGTCATGCTCGCTCATGTTCATTTATCGGACCAAAGACGTTTTGACTTTTGAGCCCTTGGTATTAAATCATACTGAGCCAAAGAGGTCAACAAAGTGCGCCATTACACACAACATGCAGTTAACAGCCGAACATGGCCGAACAATGTGCTGTGTCAACACGAACATTACCGCCTACAAACTAAAATGTCACCATTTCCGGTAACTGTGCAAAGGCGACATACAGCGAATGAAGCATTACATGGCTACTGAATAGCAGCTTTGACGCACTCTGAAGGACAGCGAACACTAAATTCCGTCCAGAATATACCGGGGACAAAGACAGCGCATCAAAACCTACGCAAGCTCGCAAACGGCTCCTGCTAAGCATAATTCTCGATTAGCTCACTATTGTCTCCACTGCAGGATGCAGCCGACATTTAGATGTAGGTGGACTGCTCTAGTAAGAATTATCTCAAGGAACTTGGAATTCACAGACAAAATAACCACGCGAGAGTGAGCACTCCCGGGACACCCAGGATAACACATCCACCAGCAAAGGAGGACAGACGAAATGGCGTCCAATATCTCGACGCAAAGTTGCCCTGACGGCGTTATTGAACAGCCTGATATTCCATGGCGCTTCGTGGAAGGTGGCGTACGGGGACGTCGTCGCCGGCAGCATATTGACTCGAGCAACAGCAGACACGGACGTTGGGGAAATGTTCTCGGAAGTCGCACCATACATGAGTACTGGGTAGGTATGTGAAGCGCTCAATCGATAACATTTCTAGTACTGACACAGCACGTCAATTGATATTGTTATATCTAGGGACCACTCCAGAAGTGTGAACAGTCACACTTTAAGACGTCAGCCAACAGTTGAAGTTGGAGTTCCTGCAAACCAGGATTGTGTTTGATCTACCAAACACACATAGCTCACCGATAACGCGATGCAATGACACGTCTCCGATAAGTCTCAACTAGTACCATAAAGTAGTTATGGAATGATACACGAGCCCCGATAGCGAGACAAACAGACCAGGTGTAAAACCTATCCATTTAAATTCCCACAGTGCTGGCAGATAGTGTTATCGATGGTGCGGATTAATGATGACGACAGTAAGCAATACGCATACAATTCAAGCAACAAGTGCATTCAATTACCAAGAGAATCCGAAAGTGGCCTGAAAGGTAAGAATCTCTGAGGACGTTTAAGTCCATGTTTCATGATTGCGACCATGGATCAAACTGCTGTAGGGGAAAAGGCAAACGGCTCGGGCTCGGGCTCATGGAGGATGAATCATGAACAGGAAGCAAATATGCAGTATGCAATGCATAGCGCAAAAACACGCATTTTTAAGCGCACCAACCCTAACCAAGAAAGCAACCAATAACAG